TCTTTGTTATCAGATTTTTCACTAACCAGATCTTTTTAAATTCAGTTATTAGGACCTTCAAGCACCAAAGGGAAGTTATATGATTATTGAATTTAGTCCAACCTGCAATTTTACAAATAATTAGATTAAATATATTAGAACCCAGAAGGCTTAATTTGAGCCTCTTTAACAATATTATACAAAACCGTATCCGTACACATATGTAGAAATAGAACACTATTCTTGCTAGTTAAAATGTAATTTCCATATGAAGCAATTCTTTTAATGAGACCATACAGTTCTAAACAACACAAGTGAACAATCACATTACTGAAATCCTATGCAACGTAATTTAAAACTGGTTACCACACTGTATTGTAGAATCAGTGAAAGTATAGAAACTTCTATCGATTTTAAATTCTAGTTAAAACCATCATTGGTTTACAAAGTTTCTCTGTTTTAATGGGTACCTTTTATAAACCATTTGGATATGTGTCCACTGTCCCCCGTAACAGCTTGGAGTGCAGCCCCTCTAGTAGAAAAGCAAGGGCAATGCAGGTAGATAGACTGGGTTGACAAATTACACAGACCTAGGGGGTTTGGCATGACTCAGCTGTCTTGGTGCATTTGGATAAATTACAAAATGCATGGACGATGGAGGATCCTTAAAAATCAATCAGAGAAGGCAGGGGTGGCTCCAGACACATTTTTTGAGGGTGCCATGCTGGTGCTGGAAGTACGAGTGGTGGCGCTAATGCGCGCCACATACCATGCACCTGTGGCCATGACCAAAAACTGTATATGGCCAGCATGTGGGCGTGGCCAGCAAGTGGATGATCTTTCTTCATGGTCTTTGACTTGTAGTGTAACACTTTTCTCCCTTTTGTGTAGACCAAATAAGACCTGGAGGTGAACTGAATAGATTGTCTGATTAAAATTAGCCTAGCTGGGGCCAGATATTATAACCCCAATCTTCTGTCAAATTCAGCAATAACCCACAGCATGACACAGAAATTAACCCCTAGCACAACACAGTAATTAACTAGGGCATGGTTCAATACTTAACCCTCAGCACGGCACAGTAATTAACCCCAGCATTGCAACATAATTAACCCCGGCATACCACAACAGTTAACCCCCAACATGTACATGTGCATCAGTTTTACATTTATTATTAAATATAGAGAATTTCGTCACTATTTGCACATTGCAGCTTTGCAATATTTCTTAACTTTTGCAGAGAGGTTGACACCATCACTACTATGTTCTAATACACTGGTTGATTTTCACCTCTGCTATTATTGTACATGGGGGGGGGGGTTCACCATTATTGCACATTGCAGCTCTACAATTTATCAAAATATGCTGAGAGGGTGACACCATCACTACTATAGTGCAATACATTGGTTGATTTGCATTGGATATTCACATATAGATTTTACCATTTCACTTATATGCCCATTTGTACAATTTTAAAATATGTAGTAGTTATTGCTTTTGAGATTTTTTAGTTGCATGGTAGTTGCTTTATTTGATTTGGTATGTCCTCTGTATACTGGTAGCCAATGGCCTGCACACTGGTGGTTAGTGTGTCCCTGTATACTGGTGGTCAGTCCCCCTATATACTGGTGGTCAGGGCTTTTTGCTCAAAGAATAGGTGCAGGATCTCAACCGCACTCAATACAAAATACCCCCTCTCCCCCCGGAGGGGGAGAGCATGCTGCATGAAATGGTGGGTCTGGCCAAACTGTACTAACAGTTGCAGAGTCTTAAAAGGGCATTGTTAAATACCAGGAATGTGTTACACACAGGGTGCAGAGTTCAGGAACACACTATGTATAGAGTGTGGGTTGCAGGGGCATGCTATGCACAGAGTGAAGGAGTGTGTAGTGTGCTACTTACAGAATGCAGGTTGGAGGAGTGTGCTACATACACTGTGTAAGTTCCAGAAGCATGCTACATACAGAGTGCAATGTTAAGAAGTGAGCTACATGCAGAGCGCAGACTTCATGCTTGCACTACATACAGAGTGCAGGGTTCAGCTTTGCACTACATACAGAGTGCAGGGTTCAGGTGAGCACTATGTATGTCCAGGGTTATATTCTCTGGACTATTGGCTGTGCCACACACAACACAGGAAAGATACTAGAGCTTTGAGAACTGAGTGCATGTCTAAAGATGTGGTGTGCGATAGACAAATTTGAGTTCTAGAGCCCCAGGCTAATTTGTCATTGGGGTACAACCTGTATGCCAAGTGGAAGGAGGTCTACTGTGCTAGGGGAGAGGTTCATTAGAATGTTGGAGGAGTACCTGTCCTGCCCTGTTGCTAAGAGACTCCTAGCTCTTCCTGGTCACATTCACCATCACAGGAGAAAGCTCACAAATGCTGAGCTCTGAGTTAATGCATCAGGGGGAAGAAAGTGCATGTGAGGCATATCATAGAAAGAGTTTGCTTATGTGATGGTAGAGGTGAACAGTAAGAGCTAAGAGCAGGGGCGGACTGACAACTCATGGGGCTCCCGGGCAATAGGGGATCATGGGGCCCCTGTGTTCTTGCCCAAACTCAAAAAAGCCTATGAAAAAGGTACCAGGGGCATCTCATGGGGCCCCCTACTGACCCCGGGCCCTCGGGCAGTGCCCTAGTTTCCAAATGGTGAGTCCGCCCCTGGCTAAGAGTATCTTAGTAATGCCCTAGAAACAAGATAGGTTTGGACAATGTGATCTCTGGGAGTTTTTCAGTCAAGCTTCAGGAGGTATGTAAATGACCTACACCTAAAGCAAGGGTATTATTCATCTTTGGTCAAAGCTGCACAACGTGTTTTTATCTACAGGAACCCCCTTACCTGCATAGGCAGTTATTGGTAAAGGTGAACAAACCCTTTAAGTTCAATGAAAATTTCAAGGGAGCAGTTTTTGCGCCTGGAATTAAAGATATTTAACCAGGCTTTATAGTTTTTTTTTGCCTCACACTGGATCAACTATGGATTTAGGGTTCTGAGACATATGTGTCTTTATTATTCATTGTACTAAGGTCTGGACACAGTATCTCTTCCAAATAAGTTACTTTACTGTGGTAAACCTTCATTTGTTCCCAAAAAAAAAAAAAATTATACTTACTTGCCCAGGCAATGGTATTGCAGAGAGGCTCCTTACCTCCTTTTCTGGGGTCTCCCAGCAGCGCTATCCACTCCTCCTGTTCTCTGAGTGCCCCCTTAGCAAGCCGCTTGCTATGGGGGTTCTCCTGCCAGTGCACTCCTCCCAACCCGAGCTGTGTGAGGGCATAGAAACACACATGGTGGCTTGGTCCCACCAATGGCTCCTGCTGCCATCACAGCCTCCTGTGCATACAGGAAGAGGGGAAAAGAGCTGATGGGACAACAGTAGATCAAAAGAAGACTCAGGTATGTGTTTAATGGGGAAGAACTACTACTGAAAGGTTTTTTTTTAACCTAATGCAGATAATGCTTTTAGAACCACTTTTAGACAAATCAGCTATGTTTTCTACTTTCAGTTAGTACCTCGGGTCATTGAAATAGAAAGCCTACCCATAGTATGCATGTGTCTGTAGGGCTTGGGTGGAGGGGGCTGAATACTGATTATAATGATTAGATCAGCAGAAATACCCAAATGTGATAAAATCACAATAACTTGAATTAAATTGACCCAATATGCAAATTAATAACAGCTACACCAAGATTACCCAGCAGGAATGCCCAGCAAAATGCTAATTATCAGCAGTTATGACCAGTAAGACACCATTATTAACAGTGATAGTTTTATTAAGTAATACGTATTATAGTTTCAACCACTAATAGCTGTATTTGGGAAGATGCACATCATTGGCAGTAACACCTATTTGTATTAGCACATCCACAATATTGCTGTTTAAGAAGCCAATTAGGCAGAAAATCCAATGCTGTATCACAACGATGATGCTTAATATTGTGCACATCAGTGGCAGTAATGGTCAACAAGATGTAATAAAATAGCTTTGCTACATTGGTGGCAATGCCAAGTAAGATGCTTGCTGCCAAGTAAAATTAACGCAGGGTGCCGCCTCAGTCCTGTGGTTATGTAAAGGGCTTTGGCAGATGAAACTCAGCCTATAATATCAGATTTCAGAAGTAGATTATAATGATGATGAAACCTGCAATTATAGATATCAACCCAATTAGCAAAGGATCTGGGGAAAGATACTTATGTGTCATTACATGAATGGGGTCTGAACAGAAATAGAATTTTCGCTCTTCCTAAAATTTCCTCGACAATCTTAGGTTATACATGCAGTACTGAGAAATCCTATTAGGTATCACTGTACATCCAATACAGGTTTAGTGCCTGTCAGAATGATATGCAACTTCCCACAAATGACATTACCTTGATAAAGTGAGACTCATACATGGTAACAATGCATAAGGAAAAGGAAAAGGCACATTAGTACATAAAGGTCACAATACAGCCATGTTTTTTTTTTTTTTAATTTAATATTGTGCATCTGTTCAGCTGGATGAAACATATATAGAATTTAAATCCTGAAATATTTGATCAAAGACTGGTATTTCTTCATGAGATGCAAGTAACACAGAACAATTTAAAATACAATAAATTGGTATTTTCTGTGTGTCTGTTACTTTCACATAAGCCAGATAACTAGAGCTGTGAGCTATTTAAGACAGGCAATAGATGCTTGTCATACATAAACGCATTGCTCTTCTGTGTTTTTCCAGCAAACTTGAAAGCCTCACATTGCCTTCTAGTGGTCTTTGTCTGAATATGCACTAGTTTCTTCCCTCACTGGGAAATTCCAATATCTCTTTGATTCTATAGAGAGCAGCATGTTTGCAGAACATGAAGATCATCAATTACAGTAACCCAATTTAGTAACTGGTATATGTACATTATTCTACAGTGAAACATATTTGTTTTCATCTTTTTCCAGATTTGGTATACTGTAGTTTTCAAATGCACAGTATGCATGCAAGACACTTTGCATCTTGCTGCCCTAGAAACAAAAGAAGATTATGATTAATGTGGTCCTATCAATGTGCACAATGCATGCTGTTCTTCAATGTTCTGCCATGTTCTACATACACTATATTGCCAAAAGTATTGGGATACCCCTCCAAATCATTGGATTCAGGTGTTCCAATCACCTCCATGGGCACAGGTGTATAAAACCAAGCACCTAGGCATGCAGACTTCTAAAAACATTTGTGAAAGAATCAGTCACTCTCAGGAGCTCAGTGAATTCAAGCGTGGTACCGTGATAGGCTACCACCTGTGTAATAAGTCCATCCATGAAATTTCCTTGCTACTAAATATTCCACGGTCAACTGTTAGTGGTATTATAACAAAGTAGAAGCAACTGGGAACAACAGTAACTCACCCATGAAATGGCGGAGTCAGCACATGCTGAAATACACAGAAGTTGCCAACTTACTGCAGAGTCAATAGCTAAAGGCCTCCAAACTTCATGTGTTCTTCAGATTAGCACAACAACAGAGCATAGAGAGCTTCATGGAGTGGGTTTCCATGGCCGAGCAGCTTCATGCAAGCCTTACATCACCAAGTGAAATGCAAAGCGTAGGCTGCAGTGGTGTAAAGGACACTGGATTCTACCGCAGTGGAAACACGTTCTCTGGCGTGACCAATCATGCTTCTCTGTCTGGCAATCCGATGGACATGTCTGGGTTTGGCAGTTGCCAGGAGAGATGGCACTTTCCTTACTGCATTGTGCCGAGTGTAAAGTTTTGTGTAGGGGGATTATGGTGTGGGGTGGTGTTTCAGGGGTTGGGCCTGGCCCCTTAGTTCCAGTGAAGGGAACCCTTAAGGCGTCAGCATAACAAGACATTTTGGACAATTTCATGCTCCCAACTTTGTGGGAACAGTTTGGGGATGGCCCCTTCCTGTTCCAACATGTCCGCACCAGTGCACAAAGCAAGGTCCATAAAGACATGGATGAGCGAGTTTGGGGTGGAAGAGTTTGGGGTGAAAGGACTAATATTGGGATGCCATTAAAGTTCATATGCGTGTAAAGGCAGACGTCCCAATACTTCAGGCAATATAGTGTGTGTGTATGTATATATATATATATATATATATATATATATATATATATACACACACACACACACACACTTGTGGACCAGCGAGGTACAAGTACGTCACTGGACTTTGAGTGGTATTGGTTTATTCAGCTGGCAGTCAGCAAAATTTTAAAGCATCACGTTTGGTATCTATTTACTAGGTGTAACGTCATCTTTTATATAACAGCAACCGCAAGCCACCTCACATCCCCCCGCAGGAAATTACGTACAGCTCACAGCTAGTGAGGGTGATCGGGTGAGATGCCGCTGATGCGGCACACTGGTTCATTTCAGGGATATCATTGAGATCACTGATGGGCTTTTAATACAACATGTGTTTGTGAGTAGCATTTTTACTGGAGTTTGAATAAATATTGGTTTTTAGCGGAGTTACACTATTCCTGTCCTGCATTGCATTGAGAGTGTGCATTAATTCACTTGGTGACCATGTTGGGGAGACGGACTTATGAGACATCACTTTTTGGACTGATTTATCACTGATTTTATTAATAGTTTTTTCATTTGAATTGATTGAACACTTTACATATTGCTCAAGCACTTTTATGTTATGTTATTATCATTTATGGAACATACACGTGCGCTTCCATATATTTAGGTTGTTTATATATACATATATGTCTTGAGAAAGATGAACTGAGCTTCATCAAAACACTGACAATAAAAACACTGCTGTTTTTCATCTTCCTCCTAAGACCCGTGAGTCCCTTTCAACCAGTTTTGGATTGATATGGATGTCTTTGTGGGTGAGCACCTGGGCATTCACTTCAAACATATAGGGGTTTATTTACTAAAGCTGGAGAGTCCAAAATCAGACTCCCTTCTGCATAGAAACCAATCAGCTTCTAACCTCAGCTTGTTCAATGAAGCTTTGGCAATGAAACCTGGAAGCTGATTGGTTTCTATGCAGAAGGGAGTCTGATTTTGGACTCTCCAGCTTTAGTAAATAAACCCCATAGTGTCATAACTACCTTTGGAACTCGTATACACACACACACATACCAGCCACTCACCTAATATTGAGTAGTTTCCCCTTTCGCCACCAAAACAGCCCTGACCCTTTGAAGCATGGTACCCCTAGACCTCTAAAGGTATACCATGGTATCTGGCACCAAGCCTTCAGTTGTAGATCTATTAAGTCCTGAAGGTTGTGAGGTGGGGCCATGGGTTGGACTTGTTTCCCCAGCACATCACACAGATGGAGACCAAGTCAACACCCTAAACTTGTTGTGTTCCTCAAACCATTCTTGAACCATTTTTGCAGTGTAGCAAAAATTATCCTGCTGAAAGATGCCACTGCCATCAGGAAATACTGTTTCTAAGAAGGGGTGTACTTGGTCAGCAACAATGTTTAGGTAGGTGGTAAGTGTCAAGGAACATTGAATGGCAGGACCCAGGGATTCCCAGCATAACATTGCCCAAAGCATCACACTGCCTTTAATGGCTTGCTGGTTTCTGATACTGCAGCCTGGTGCCATCTCTTCCCCAGGTAAATGATGCACCTACACCCAGCCATACGCATGATGCAAAAGAAAATATGATTCATCAGAACAAGCCATCCTTTTCCATTACTCTGGTTCTGATGCTCAAGCACCCATTATAGGTTCCTTTGGCTGCGGATTTGAGTCAGCAGGGCACCCTGACCAGTCTTTGGCTTCACAGCCCCATACATAAGAAACTGCAATGCCCTTTTTTCTGATTTCAACACATCAACTTCAGGGTCAACATGTTTACTTGCCGCCTAATATATCCAACCACTTTCATATGCCTTTGTAATGAGATAATCAATATTATTCACTGAACCTGTCAGTGGTCATAAAGTTTTGGCTGATCAGTGTATATACAGTATATAGTGTATATGTGTGTATGTATATATATATATATTTTATACTGCACTGCAGTTACAAAGTGTGCCATGGTACAAAACAGAAAATTGGCTGTTACGCTGTTATGGGCAAAACGTTATGTATGGCAATTGCTGAATTATAAATATATTTTTTTACTTCTTCTGTATGGAAAACTAAACAGGTTGTTTCATTTTATATGCAAAGTAAATGTTTCTTGCTCTGTTGGTACTTTGTCTTATAATTTTATTATCCCTTATAACCTAGAATTTAGGAGAAAAACTTACTAAATCTGTTACCCATGAGAAAAGTCCTGTTCCTTTTTATTGTGCATTCTGGACCTATAAATAATTGCAGCCCTCATATAACACAATAATATTAGCACAGGGTATGCAGATTACTAAGAAAGGAGGCATGTCAGTTGCTGTGAGGAGGCTAGGCCTGGGCTATAATTCAATAACTGCAAAGTAATCATAAGCTCTTGACTATGCAGGATAACAGGTACCCTAACACAGTCCTTAAAGTAAGCCTTTGCCGGCTACATTGGAGCTCTTAAAGATGTTGGTGCGCTAGAGGGAATAGTTTCTGCAACAAGGAAATTGGTTGTAAAACACTAATTTCCTAAGAGCACTGAGTAAAGTGTCCAGTAAGGGGTTAATTATCAGAGGTATAATATTAGATATCTCTCAGATGTTCAGGGATACAGTCAGGGGCAGACTGACAACTCATGCGGCCCCCGGGCAAGAGGGGATCATGGAGCCCCTGTGTCCTTGCCCAAACTCAAAAAAGCCTATGAACAAAGGTACCAGGGGCATCTCATGGGGCCCCCCCTACTGACCCAGGGCCCTTCGGCAATGCCCAAGTTTCCAAATGGTCAATCCGCCCCTGGATACAGTTCTGAGCAGCAGGACTGTTACAGGAAGTTAATGGAAAATAGGGGATGCCTTTAAGAGGGATAGTACAATGTGGCTTTCCAATAGATTTTACTTCAGGTCAGTTAATATGTCACAAAAGGTTAATATCCACTCACCAACAAGTCTTTGTAGTAGCAGGTCTCCTTTAGTGATGAACGGGGCCCTCTTTAAAATGAGAATGATTCCAGATGAGCTGTTCAATGACTGCATCAGACAGTGTTAGCTTTGTGATGCACCTGCAACCTTTAGCTAGGCTTGGCGGAATCACAGCAGGAATCAGCAGTACTAGGCCTCAGGATGATCCCCCTGGCTCCAGTGGACAGATAGCAGCAGCTACCTGGAACTGACAGACACTGTACTCATGTAATACACATTCATTCACTGTACATTCTTCCATGTCTCTCTCCCAGATAGGACCTTCCCTTCTAAAGCGCCCCTCTCTCAACTCCTCTCTGGTTTCCTGGGCTTTTTAATTTATATGACCCTTCCTGCACACAGGCATACTGGGTTTTGTAGTATCTTGTGTCTGTATTGAAAATGGAGTTCTTTTTGGCTGGGACTACATTCCCCATCATGCAATGCTCTAAGCAAAGATGAATCAGAATCCACTAAGCTCCATCTTGTGGCAGAAAAAGGAAACTTCTTGCAAGAATGTCATAATTAACAATGTATTAATAAACCTACACATTTGCAATGGGTCTTGTTACAGGTATATACTTAATATCACTATTTATCTAAATCCCAACAACAGTTGGTCATAAAGACAAGGAAGGGAGAAAAGAAGGGGTTCAGTCATGGTTTTAAAAATTTACCAGCACATTGGTTAACAATGTGAAAACACTGAGCAGCGCCAGAGGTATAGATAAGGATGGGGATATGGGAGCGTAAACTTCCCACCTCCAGAGCATCCATCCACCGTGCAGGCTAGCATAGCCTGGGGGTGGGAGCCACAAAGCATGGGCATCCACAAATCATGGACATCCTTGGAGGCAGTTTATTTCTCCTCTCCAGGTCATGAATGGACAGCTTGGCTGAAAGAGAGAAAAGAATGAGCCTGATTGATCACATTGATGCCTAACCATTAATCCCCACCCACTGAACAAATATCATGGAATGAATGGTGCACTGAGTGGGAGAAAGGAAAGAAAGAGGGATGCAGAAGTGTGTGCTGTACAAGAGAAGCTGAGAGAGCTGTGAGCTGTGATTTGGTAGAGAATCCCAGAAGGCCTAGAGGGGGGAAAGCACTGCAGGGTGGCTTGTACAGTACATGACATGCTTCTGACTACTGCGCTTTGTATATTGGGCTGTATATAACATACTGCTGACCACCATACACTGTAAGCTGGGCTGCCTGTATATGACATACAGAAAAACAAAAGAGCACAAAAACCTAGTGCATAACCAGATAAAACTTTATTCGAAAAAGGAAAAAAAAATGAGTGCATACTCACAAAAGCCAAAGGCTGATACAGCTTTATAAAGCAGATGGATGTGGCTGTTTCATATGTTACCATATACACAGTGAAAAGGCTTCATTGTAAGTCTCTCCCACTGCTTGCACATTCAAAATTTGCCTAAATATTTGTTCTAATTTGCTTTCTGTAGCAAGAAATAAAAAACCCAGTGATGATTAACCACTTCAGTATCAAGCGCTTTCATTCCCTCCCTGCAAAAGCCAAATTTCAGCTTTCAGTGTTGTCACACCTTCTACGACAATTGCGCAGTCATGTAATACTGTACCCAAATGAAATTTTTATAATTTGTTTACACAAATAGAACATTCTTTTGGTTGTATTAAATCACTGCAGTTTTTTTTTTAATAATAATAATTTTTCAAATTTGTTTAAAAATATTGTTTTTCTTTTTTATTACCTATTACCATAGTAACATTGTACTACTCTAGGGAGGTGATTAGAGGTTTTTTATACATTATGATCACTTATAGCAGTTATTATTACCATTATAAAGAACCACTTTACTGAATGAAATTGATTTATTCAGTGTGTATTGTTGGGATTGGCCACAGCTAATCACATGGTACAGATGGGCTGTGATTGGCCCTGTCTGTACCATGTGATCACTGTGACCAATCACAGTGAGCAACACAATAGTACAGAATGGATGGCATGAATGAAAGCAATCAGTTGCGTACAACTGTCATGTGATCTGCTGTGATTGGTTACAATAATCACATGATACCGGCAGTGGCCTGGTTCAGTGATCTGGCATTGGCTGTGTGTGGTGGACACAGCCGGTGACAAATTGCGCCGCAGTGCGAGCCATTCTGTGGAGAACGTCATATGACATCCACCCAGAACTGCCAATGTCCCACCCAGCTGTCATTTGTCTATAGGCTGAGTGGGAAGCAGTTAAATGTAACTTAAATCGAGCTCCATCTGTCCTAAAAAAATAAAACATTAATTTAGGCACAGTGTTACAGAAATTGTCAGTCAAAGCCAATTGCAGCACTAAAAACTGAAACATGGTCTGGTAATGAAGGTATTTAAAGAAATTAGTATGCAAGTGGTTAACCATTTCTTTAGTGTATGGTTGGGGCAGTCTCTCTGGCAATGACCCAACTCTTGAGAGCCTAACAAAGGGTTGGTGACCATGCTCTCCTTTGCCACCTCGAAGGCATTGCTTGCCTTCTCCATTAGGGCGCATCCCCTCTTCACACCTCAGGGCAGTATACTTGTCTGCGCTTGAAGGTGGAGAACTCTGTCTGGAGCTGAACTATCCCTTCTTTAAATTTCCACAATTTTAAAGTACCACAATGCTGCGCAGTCTTTCTAAAGTGCTTTTAAATGTTAACTATTTCTCCTCAGTGCAATGTGATCTAAAATCACCCATTCTGTTTGTGCAAAGTAATCCCCTTCCAAACAAATCTTCTGTGCAGCACCACTCTTGTAAGAATCTAGTCCACTTCTACCCTTAACTGGAATACTGTTCATTTTTTCAGATGGATCTTATGATTTAACTTAAGGCAATGCAGGCTTTTCCCAATATTTGTTATAGAACTCTCCTTCCACTTTAGCCCCCAAGGAAGAAAAAAGCATCCAAGAGGTTGGTGTGTGTTCATAAAAAGTAGTGAGAGGACAAAATATTTGAAGAGCTCACTAGTTCAGGTTAGGCTGCTCACAACAGACAAGGCTATCCTCCTGTGGATACCCAGCAGGTTACCAATGCAAAACATGCACCAATGGAAGGAGCACCAGAGCAAATAATAAAAGAGTACAAATTAATTTATTGGTTTACACAAAAATCCCACAATAGGAGAGATTTACTAAAAGTGGTGCACTCAGAATCTGGTGCAGCTGTGCATGGGAGCCAATCAGCTTCTAACTTCAACTTGTTCAATTAAGCTTTGACAATAAAACCTGGAAGCTGATTGGTTTCTATGAAGATGTGAGCCTGATTTTGCACTCTCCAGTTATAGTAAATAAACCCCAATGTGTTTCAGAGGCCAGAAGAAACTTCCCATTTATCAGGTATACAACAAAATAAAATATAGTAAAAATTTAAATGTGACTGATACTGTATAATGTTGTCATGTAATATCTATTATTTGTTTAATATCTATCAAGGATTCTGCTTGGTGAGACACCATGTTATATATGATATAGTTTCACACATGATTGTAAGGAAATTGTACTGACACTTCTTCACTGCTAGGTAAGACTCCACATTATGACGCTATTAGAATATCAATGGCATTTAAGCACTACTTGGATTTCATTTTAAGAGCCACATACTGTAGCTCACAGTATGAGCAAGGATGAGAAAAAGATACACTATATATACACCCCTCCAAATCATTGGATTCAGGTGTTCCAATCACCTCCATGGCAACAAGTGTATAAAATCAAGCACCTAGGCATGCAGACTGTTTCTACAAACATTTGTGAAAGAATGGGTTGCTCTCAGGAGCTCAGTGACTTCAAGTGGTGCCGTGATAGGCTGCCACCTGTGCAATAAGTCCATCCATGAAATTTCCTTGCAACTAAATATTGCACAGTCAACTGTTAGTGGTATTATAACAAAGTAGAAGTAAGTGGGAACAACAGCATATAAAATGACAGAGCAGTGTCAGTGCATGCTGAAATGCACAGTGCACAGATGTTGCCAACTGTCTGCAGAGTCAATAGCTAAAGACCTCCAAACTTTGTGTGGCCTTCAAATTAGCACAACAACAGTGCATAGAGAGCTTCATAGAATGGGTTTCCATGGCCAAGCAGCTGCATCCAAGCCTTACATTACCAAGTGCAATGCAAAGCGTCGGATGCAGTGGTGTAAAGCACGCTGCCACTGGACTCTAGAGCAGTGGAGACATGTTCTCTGGAGTGCAGAATCACGCTACTCTGTCTGGTAATCTGATGGACATGTCTGGGTTTGGCAATTTCCAGGAGAATGGTACTTGCCTGACTGCATTGTGCCAAATGTAAAGTTTGGTGAAGAGGGAATTATGGTGTGGGGTTGTTTTCCAGGGGTTGGGCTTGGTGCCTTAGTTCCAGTGAAGGGAACTATTAAGGCATCAGCATAACAAGACATTTTGGACAATTTCTTGCCCCCAAACTTTGTGGAAACAGTTTGGGGATGGCCCCTTTCTGTTCCAACATGGCTGCGCACTAGTGCACAAAGCAAGGTCCATGAAGACATGGATGAGCGAGTTTGGGGTGGAGGAACTTGACTGGCCTGCACAGAGTCCTGACCTCAACCCGATAGAACACCTTTGGGATGAATTAGAGCAGAGACTGCGAGCCAGGCCTTCTCGTTCGACATCAGTGCCTGACCTCACAAATGCGCTTCTGGAAGAATGGTCAAACATTCCCATAGACACACTCCTAAACCTTGCGGACAGCCTTCCCAGAAAAGTTGAAGCTGTTATAGCTGCAAAGGGTGGGCCAACTCAATATTGAAGCCTACAGACTAAGACTGGGATGCCATTAAAGTTCATGTGCATGTAAAGGCAGGTGTCCCAATACATTTGGCAATATAGTGTATGAGGTTATATCCTATTATTAGAGAGCATTAGCCTGAGAATTGATAATGTGGCCCAGGGGCGGACTGACCATTCGAGCACTCGGGCACTGCCTGAGGGCCCGGGGTCAGTAGGGGGCCCCATGAAATGCCCCTTGTACCTTTTATAGGCTTTTTTGGGTGTGCTTTGAATGTGGGCAAGGACACAGGGGCCCCATGATCCCCTATTGCCCAGGGGCCCCATGACTTGTCAGTCCGCCCCTGATGTGGCCATATGGCTGTCTACTATCTGTTTGTAGTCTTTGAAGTGGTCTATGAGGACTTGGACCACAAATATTATTTTAAAGCAGTACTAAACCCAAAACCAGGAATTATATTTATATTGCAGCTTATCAATTCTTAAAGTGGAGCTCCACCCAAAAGGGGAAGTTCGGCTTTAGGTACTGGTCCCCAGCTTCCCGTGAAAAATTATCACCTTTGGGGAGTGGGGGGGGGGGGGGGGGTATTGCGGGTACCCGATTTTGACAGGTTCCCATTTCTGGTGTGATCACCAAGCAATTGGAAGCAGAAGCTGTCCTCCCCCTTCTTTTCCCGTAGTCTTCTGGGATACATGACATGATGACAGGTCTAAGACTACAGGAGCATTCACAAGGCGCAGCACTACTAGCGCATGAGTGGGCACCCAGCTGTGAAGCCACAAGCTGTCACAGCCGAGTGCCCACACTTATGTTGCTAGCACCAGGGAACACAGGACAGCCAGTGACATCAGCTGCAATGACTGCTACTGCTGACTTTTATTTTTTTTTTTGTTTGACTGGAGCTCTGCTTTAAATGTGATGGCTAAATTTGATTTCTTCATTAGGCTTTTTTTCCTTTATTTTCACCTGGTGATCCAACCAACAACAGATCTCTCCACTCTGGATGGAGCAGCAATGAAGACACCTTCAGACTGCAGAACTGTCAGTCTGGGAAAGGGTTCTGTTAGATGCACTAGCAGATTTAGATGGACTTGACTAAAAAATTAAACCTGAACCCCAGCTAACACATTTTAAAGTGGAGCTACAGTAAACCTTTGGGTTATGGCCTGGAAGCAATGTAGTAGGGTGCACACCAGGAGAGCGCTGTCCAAGGGGAAGATAGTAGCTCCTCTACCTCAGATACGTAGACCCCAGCAAGAGAGACTAATAAGGTCCTGGATGCAATTTCCACATGTCAAAGGACAGTTACCTTGAAGATAGAGGAGGTCAAGATTGTAATTTCCTTAATACATTCCATTCCATAATCTGAAGGTGGCTGCCTTTCCTGATCTTTCTGTGGGTGTCCAGTGACGAAGATCCCGCTTAGATGCGGTTAAATGGCACCTTCATGTTCATCACATCAAGTACGCCATGTTGTATTCTGCCAGGTTCCACGTGGAAGCAGAAGGCCGTGTCCACTTCTTTGAAGATCCTGAAATGGTGTCCACCTAGGCTCGATCAGTGGTCTGCAATGGATGCTGCTCCAGCTTGACCCTCCACTGCTTGAGGCCTTTCTGTGAGTACTTTCCTACTTTTTTTGCCCAGCCAAGATGGCCGTACCACTTGGAATCCAGCAACTACCCCACTTTCCTGTCCCTTACAGGACATCCCCAGACTTTTTTTTTTGCTGAGTGCCTGGCATGGAGAATATACAACCCTTGATGCCGTCAACCTCATGGATCCCACATACTTGCCCACCAATCCCCCTCTCCCACTCCTTTATCCCCCCATCCCATCCCCCTAGCTAAATATGACTTTCCTCCTCAATGTGCTGGAATCCCTTTTCCCGTATATACCCTTCTGCACTGTTATTAATGTATGTCTGAAGATACCTCTCCTCTACAATTGACCATATCCTTACTCTATAACTCCTTGTATAACACCACAAGGACCTACTGTGCACCTTGCTCAGTATCCATCACCAGCTAGAAGTTGCCCCTCCCTTACAGTTAAGGGTGTCAGTCTCTGGGGTCCAAGGTTTCTACATGGATCTGACAGTTTTTCACCCCTTCTTTCTGTGTTTGAAGTTTTTTTTTCTGTTGTTCTGTTATGGGATGCCCTGTGGATAGAGAGATTCAACACCACTATCCCCCCTGGTTTCAAAGAAGTATTAACTTACAAACCCTTTTTCTGAAATGCTATGTCGTCTAAGTGGCAAACATGATTTCTTGTGCTGGCTTTGCTAATTGTCCATCACTGTTTTTTGCTTCTTTATGTATATTGAGTATTTGGGTAGAGTCCCTTTTTTCCCTTATTGTGTTGTTTTGTGTATTTGTTTACAAATTGTTGTTATTGACTATACTATACCTTGCTGCCTCTGTGGACTCATTGCTATTTGGCCACTGGTTGGTGTCTTAGCACTTTCCCGCAGCGGTCACGTGACCCTCTGAGGGAGAGGAGGTATTTCTCCTGTTTTGGAGGTCCTGCTTCCTTCTGAGCCTACTCACAATCTTCAAGATGGCCAAGATGGTGGCTACTGTGCATGCGTGAGGGCCTGTGCATGTGCAGTTTGGGGGATCTGGTTCAGTGATGTCAGAAGTGGCCGGCGTGTCTACACACGCCGGATTGGGAAGTGGTGGGCAGGTTAGGCCCCTTGTTGTGGATGCTGCCAGGTGGGGATGTTTTACTCTTGATTTATTCATGGTAAACCACAATTCAATATTATCTCATTTACTGGTACATAACTCATAATTCATTTGACTCCATACATGGGAAAATTTGATTACCAATACTATACTACTTAAGCTTTATTGCATATGGGAGATTGCATATGGGAGATTGTATGTAGTGGAGACTCCCTTGTTTATCTTTAATTATTGGCCATTTTTAGGCTCATTTATTTGGGCTGGTTATTTACCTCCTTAGAACAATTTATTTTTTTATGCGTGTATGTTTTCGTTTATGTGGTCTTGTCTATGTTTGGTCGAAATGGACATCTTCAACCCCTTGGTCTCCTTATATCTCGGGTTATGACCTGATACCAACCTTTTGGGTATCTTTAATTTCCTCCCGGCTGATATATTGTTATTTTGTTTTAAAGGTTAGTATATAGGGGTGTGGTCTGACTATGGCAGTGTGAAGATGCTAATCCTGGAGCTCTGCACGGACCGGGACAGATAATCAGTAGAACCTCACTGCCCAGTCATTTTCTCATGCCAGGGGACCGGAAAAACCAGCAGACCACCAGGAACATTATGGGAGGTGAAATTACACATTATTTCCTCTGCCAGCTCCCCGCATCCTCTCTCGCGGCCTCCTCCGAGATGGCGCCACCGTGGCCTAGCTCTACTGACTCGGCCTCAGCCAAGAAGCCCCTACACTCTATGGGCACCTCCTCTGATGCAGACGTAACCGTGAACCCCCACCTGGTCTCTTTGTTTTTGTCTCCGGCACTCCCACTGGAGAACTCTCAGTCGAACTCTAGTCAGAATGGGGGACTGGACAGCCGCATGGAAGGAACTATCAGAGACCTCATGGTGGTCTTCCCAACTGAATAAGACCTGCAGGCTATGGCCACCTCTATTGTTAATGCCCTCTCCCGTGAATTGCATGACCTCTGCCAACAGGTTAACATCATGGAGGAAAGGGTGGCAGACCTGGAAGGTTCTGCCAATACCACCGACATCAAACTGGCCACCCTGGAAGCTGATCAACAGGCCTTTCGTTGCCATCCTATCAATGTGCACCTTTGCCTAGATGATGGAGAGAACCACAATCGGTGAAACAACCTCCAGCTTAGGGGGATCCCAGAGGCTACAAGTGGGGAAAACCTGTATGCTACCATGACAGCCATGCTCAATCAACTACTAGGGAAACCGCCCACAGCAGAATTAGAACTTGAGCGGGTACATCGAGTCTTGGGCCCCCGTGCACCCCCTTCATCTCAGGTAGTATCTACCTCTCTACCTTTGTCATGAGATGTCCTCTGCAGGGTGCACTTCTATACAGTGAAAAAGGAAATTCTACGTCAAGCCTGGACTGTGGGTCCCATAAACTTTGGTGCCATGATCCGTGTATACCCAGATATCTCCAGGCAGACCCGGGCCATGCGGGGGATGCTCCGGCTCCTGTTGGAGGTGATATGGGAAGCAGACGCGACGTACCACTGGGGTCATCCCTTTCATCTCTGTCAGGAATGGACTCGCCAATGGTGGTGGGACTCACCTGCCTTGTGGGCTGCAGTACCAGGGCTGGCTAGTGGGTGCTCTAGGCAGCCAGAAGCAGCCAGAAGCTCACTCCCTGCAATCAAGCCATCACCTGAGGCTGATTGCAGGAGGTGTATTTAAGGAATGGCCAGGCCTGCAGTCAGGGCCTTGGTATAT